CTGGTTCCCCTGGCAAGGTGATTGACTCTTAACTAGCCTCAATAGACACTGGTGTATAAAGACCACAATGCTAGTTTTTAAAATTTGCAAAGAGAAGTATCAGGCACACCCACTTCTCATATTTATGGTTCAGTGTATCTTCTTAGTGGGCAAAGCTACATGGAAAACTAAGCTACAATCATAAGGTTGCTTGATAAGCATTGAGTCAGCTCTCTGATCAATATCAACAAGCTCTGGTAATGGGATACATTCATCTTTCCCATAAGAATATACAGGGTGGGGCAAAAATAGGTTTACAGTTGTGAGTATAGAATATAATATAGTAAATAATATAAGGATACGCTCAGTTTTGTGTACCCACAACTCTAAACCTACTTTTGTCCTATCTGTACTTGCCACTCATACCAGATATTTTTCAATTTTTAGAGCATTCTTTCTACTAGATTAGGGTGCAGACACGTGGCCAGTTTTTACTTTTTTGGTTTCATTTCTTACAGAGTTACTATAGACTATCTCCTTTAGTACATTTTCCCATTAGAGTTTATTAAAATTATGCTAATGTAGTAAAACAGCTTAATGCCTGGCATGTTAGTAAATAAATGATAACTAATACTAATAAGTGTAACTGGTGTTGAATTCAAGTCATCTTGATACTTGTAATGTCAAAGACAATCTTTTATGCCATTTCTATAGATGATTGACCTATCTCATCTTTTACATTTTTATCCTTTAATTCTTTTTAGCTCCTTAATGTCATTTATTCTTAATATTGGATCCATAAGCTAATCAGGGCCATCAGTTTTGACTCTTCATGATTTTGCTCCTGTTTTGTTTTTGACATTTTGATTTTTTCAAAATACTCTATTCTCTATAGTCCTACCCTATCTGTTATGTGAATTTAGTGGAAGAGATGACCTTCAAGTTACTGCTCCGCCCTAAGGGGGAAAATATATCTTTATATCTTTTTTGAGTAAGTGGTGTCAGTTGTAAGCCTTTCCATCTAATCATGCTTACCTCCATGTCAGCCTCTGCTTACATCCTTTCTTGTGGAGTATAAAGTTATTTAGAAAGTGATAGCAGCATCTGAAGCCTCAGAACAGGGGACGGCCATGGAACTGGGAGGCAGTGATTGAAAAACACGGGTGGACGTTTGGTGATGGTGAATTCAGCAGTCAACAATGGCATTACAGATCTGACAAGTACACATTGACAAATCAAACCTTTTTGTGTGAAACCGAGAACAGAAAGGAATCATTGAGACGAGCCAGTGGATCACTCCAGCAACAGTAAGCCTTGTTAGCCTTCCCCTCTCCATGCTGTGGGGTTTACTTATTCTTCTAAGAGTGGCAAAGTAGATTTCTGACAACAGTGGGAAAATTGCCAGAGCTTCTTCTGGTCTTTGTAAAAATGCAGATTTTAGCCGAGACCAGTTTGGCTCAATGGATAGAGCCTCGGCTTGGGGACTGAAGGGTCCCGGGTTCTATTCTGGTCAAGGGCATGTACCTTCGTTGCGGGTATATCCCCAGTAGGGGGTGTGCAAGAGGCAGCTGATTGATGACTCTCTCTATCTCTCTCCCTTCCTCTCTGTACAAAAATCAATAAAATATATTTTTTTAAAAAAAAAATGCAGATTTTAGTGCAGTTTTGAAGCTGGTATTCTCGGAACTCACATTGTCCTAGCAAACATTGTGGAAGTTCAGAAAATGGGTAAATCATTTCACACTGCAGTATTCAGGGATAGCTGATCAGAATAGCTTTGGTCTGGGTCTTGAGTGATGGCCATCATTTGAATAGATGAGAGGAGAGAAAAGACATTTTTTCTTAGATGGGTGAAATGCCAAGAACAAAGGATCAGGTGGGAAATAATAGTGTATGTTGGGAGAGTGGAGAGTCAAATAATTTGGTGCAAAGGTTCTTAAATACAGTCCTTGAAAGAGAATTGAAGCAGAGCATCTATCTATCAAGTCATTTCACTTCCGACTTGGAAAAACATTTTTGTTCAGCACATGACTGGATGAAACTGGTATTTGATGCCTCTCAGTGCACCAAGCTTTATATTTTCATGTGCTCTCTGGTGTCATCAAAGAATTCCATTTTAGGAATTCCATATTTTTTTTTTTGGAAATGGGAAAAAGTGTCAACATCTTTAAAATTCTCTTGTCTGTCTCTCTTAATATTCAAATGGGAGAAAAAAATGCTGGCACTTTGGGGGCAGATGTAACCCTGGTGATAAGCATACATCATGGCATTCCTGCTTGGCTGAGGAAAGGACAGCCACTTGTCTTGGTGTCTTTATTTTCCATATCAGCAACTGTCACCACCTTCCCAGGAGGTATTCCCAAGAAATAGGAACAGAGTATGATGCTTTTCTCTCCCAGACAGAAATCTGCTGCCTTTCCAGAAGTCTTAATTGAACTTGAAGGCAGAGGAAATAGTGTGACTTAAACTTGAGAGCCTCCGAGGGATGTAGCGTCTGGGTATAGAGGCTACCGTAACCTGACAAAGTGTGCTAAGGAATTCTGCCTTCGTTCTACGTACCTTTGAGTCAAGGATTTCAACACTTACTTTGTTGCCACGGGAAAAAATGTTGCACTTAGTTATCAGAAATGATGTATGTGTTGCTGTCTTCAAAGTCCACGTCACAATTTCAACTCAGTGGGCCAAAATTCACTGGAATTTACTACTGAGCAGTTAGAATTATTTTTAATTTTTTTTGTCAGGAAGTCACCTTCCCTCCCCCTCTCCCCCATGAAAAATAATATGAGGTAGGCAGAATCCTTTGTAAATTATGTTTTTATTTATTTCTTACGTTCAGGAAGTCAGTTTCCAGTGCAGTAAAATAAAGTACATTGTGTGTGCATTTCTGTGCTCAGGATGAATTTGAGCAAAGAAATGACAGGAAATTAGCTCAGCTGAAGAATATGGTGGAAAGGAAAGCTTTGCCAGACCTGGCGTGGGATGGTTTAGGGATTCAGGGATTCCTGTATCTGAGTTATTCTGATAATCTGAAGGTAATTTTCTAGATTGAGCTCATGTTTATGTGTGTTTAAATGCCTGAGACAATAGGCACTCAATATCAAAAACATCGCTCTATTGCCGAAACCAGTTGGCGGCCTGCGGACTGAAAGGTCCCAGGTTCGATTCCGGTCAAGGGAATGTCCCTTGGTTGTGAGCACATCCCCAGTAGGGGGTGTGCAAGAGGCAGCTGACTGATGATTCTCTCTCATCGATGTTTCTGGCTCTCTATCCCTCTCTCTTCCTCTCTGTAAAAAATCAATAATATATATATATATATATATATATATATTTTAAATCGCTCCTTGGATAGAAAGTTGGGCGATAGTTCTTTAAATAAATACTCTTCTGTTTCAAACCTGTTATCATTTGGTGATAAGGTTTGAGGGGAGAAAATGTTTTAAAAAAATAGGAATTCTTTTTGTTCAGGAGTAGTTGGCCTCTTAGGGTTTATCTTCATAAATTTTATAATTTCTCTCTCTCTCTCTCTCTCTCTCTCTCTCTCTCTCTCTCTCTCTCTCTCTCTCTACTAAAGGTATGCCTTTAGACATGTTAATTTTTATCCAGTACCTTGCAGGATGGTGTGGTTTAGTCACATTCCACTCAACATCTGAGTTCAGATTTGTTCATTATTAAGTTAAATCAACCTGACAACTCTGAGGTCACTTTGGCTTGAAATATCACTGGAACTTATGATGGATCTTCTGTCAATTCAATAACATCCCTGGAACCCTGTCCCTGTGCCATATTAGTGTACTTCTATTTTCATCCTGTGTATTTTCCTGGAATATGGGTTAGCCTAACAGATTCCCTGCCCCAAATTTTTAATCTGTTATGATTGGAAGACCAAGATGTTAAGTTCAGTCTTTAGTTCATTGTAATATTTTAGTTTCGTTCCTACAAGTTCAAATAAAATAGAAAAATTACTGAATACATTGGCAAAACATTGGTATTATCTAAAATATGTATACTTTTTTCTGTTTTTGCAAACTTTGTGTTCCCAGGTCTGTGAAGCTAACAATCAAATTAAGTGTGTAAGAAGCCCAGAAAGCATTCCCTCTCCTTTTCCCAAAGTACAAATGTTTAATAGAGTAAAATGGGGTAAAACTTCAAAAAAGACAGTTTGGTTAAGGGATAAACTGCTCCGTAATATTGTGATTACTTAGAACCTTTGAGGAGATAAACTAGTTCAGTAGGCCATTCGTTAATCCTTAAAATCTTTAGATATCCACCACTTTGCTACACAACATGAAATAATTATTTTAATAAACTTGAATTGGGAGAAAAAATGAGTATATAAGAATAGAGTAAAAAAAAAACCTTTTATTGAATTATACTTTTAAAAATTGTTATTTTCATATTTTTTATTTTGCATTTAGAGTTGAGGTACAGTATAAGCCTGTAGTTTTATTACAGAAACAAAATATGCTTCTTGGTTACAATTTGGGAAATAAAGGTTACCTGTGGCCTCATCCCAGAGATAAGCAGTTAACATCTTGGAATTTTTCCACTATTTTATACAGGTGCGGTGTGTTGTGTATGTATACATGGACACAGGAGCATAGATACACCACAAATGGGGATGGAGCTGATTTTTTATTCCTTGCAGTTCACTTTCCCATATGACTGGGTATTATTTTTCATCAGTATAGACACTGCCCTGAATACCCTGTATGAAAATTGTGAATGTATTCATCACTGTTACTTAAGGGGAAATTCTGAAATTAGGATTTCTGGGTCAAAGGGCACTAACAAGTTGTAGGGCGCTGGTGCCCGTTCCCAGAGGCTGCGCCGGGCTGACCGCGGTCCCCCCGGTGGCACAGGTGCCCTGTGCCCACGCCGCAGCCAGGCACCTGCTGGGCGCACGCGGCGCGCGCGAGGAGCCGGGGCCGCGGCCCCGGGGGCGGGAGGCGCCGGCGATGCCCGTTTCTAACCGGCGTGTCTTTGTCTCTCTCCCTGGGGACCCTGCCGCCCGCCGGCCGAAGCCTCGGGAAGCCGTCGCCCCGCAGCGCCGCCCCGCGCCCCGCCGCCCCGGGGAGCCGCTGCCCGCCGGCCGCCGTCACCACGCGCCAGGCCGCCGCCAGCTGCCGCGCCAAGCTCCGCGGGGGCGCCGCCCGGGAGCGCCAGCTCGCCGCCCGCGGCCGCCGCCAGCCCGCGCCGCCGTGAGCGCGCCCCGGCCCACACCTCCGGCCCCGCCGCGGCCGCCTCCGGACCCTCCTCCTCCTCCCCCTTCTCTTCCTCCTCCTCCTCCTCCTCCCCGGCGAGCCCCGGGAGGCAGCCCCGAGGACCAGCTCACCCGGAGCGGGGCGCGGCCCCGGCACCGTGCCTTAGGGCGGCGGGGGAGGACGGCCTCGCCGCCGGTGCTGCTCGCGGAGCATGACCTGCTCACCCTGCCTGCCCGCCCTGGCTTTGAGATCCCTTCCCCTGGACGATGCCATCCCCTCCCTCCTCCACGTAATTTATCAGCCGCCCAGCTATAGGCCTCTCACCGGTTCTGCAAAGACCAGGCCCGCTCTGGTGTCCGCCTCCTCCAGCCTCCCTGGGCCAGAAGAAGGGTTTCACACCGTGCACATCCCCGAGGCACCGTCTGCAGCTGTGGGATCCATTGCTGGGGTTGGCCTTGAACTCTGCACCCAGCCCCGTCAGTCCCGGTAACTTCATCTCCAGTGGCCGCTTCCTCCTCTCAGTCAGCCCTGGCGCCTCCTGCACCTCTACCCGCCCTCCGGAGTCCCCGCGCGTCTGGATGGCTGAGGTGCTGCCCAGCCGGTTCCCAGTCCTTCACCAGGGCCCCTCAGTGAGAGGCCTGACTCCTCCAAAGCCCTCAGCAGCCCAGCCCGAACTCTTTAGAATTGCTGTGGGAGGCTCAGCTCTGCTACCCAACCCTGTCTCCTTTCCTAGGCATCCGACTTGCATTGTGGTATAAAGGCCCCCACCCCCTGCTTCTGATTCCTGCCCCTCATCCTTCACTGATGTTACCTCAATAAAACTCCTGCAAGTGGAACCCTGCCTTGGTGTCTGTTACTGGGAGGCCCTGAGCTGACACATTATCAGACATCCCACCCTGTTCACCATTGTCCTACCCTTCCGGATCCTTTGTCACCGCTAATTCATTGACTTCATTTTTCCCCACTACTTAGAAGCCCCTTCTTGGATTCCCTCCCTTCCTTTCTAGCCTAGATCCCACGGTCCATCACCATAATCCTCCTCCTTGAACTGCAATAGTCTCAGCAGTCTTGAACCTGAGTTTCTTCCAACGTCTCTTTCTGTAAAATCTCAACTCTGGGTGAACCATCCCATTTGCCTTCCACACACCTGACTGGGACAATCGAACATTTTCTTAAAAAAAAAATAAAAAAATAAAAAAAAAAGCACACAGTGCCGCCAGCCAGTATTACTGTCCATTGATTCTCAAACCTCAGATGGGTGCCAGTGTCAGTTTCCTCTAAAACTACTATTTACACCTCTTAATCTCAAAAATTTCTGACACCCTCCCTCCTCCAGTTTACTCCAATTTCCCCTAGAAAACAGGAGATATTACATACAAACTTCCTCATCTTTTCACCACAAGACCCCTGCCTCCAACCCACCTACCTCGGTAACCATCTTCTTTCTGTGACTAGGGAGAAGGCTTCAAAGGCCACCTCCTCCTCTTGAGCTCTGGATCCTATCCCCTCTCTCGTTTTTGAGAACTTATCCCATTTCTCTCTTCTGCACCATCAATCTCTGTCTCTAATGAATCCTTATCAGAGTGCAGAGATGCTCCAGTGACTTCCATCTTAACCAAACCTTCCCTTGTGCACATCTTTTCCATCATGAGCCATTTTCTCAGCTGTCCTTCAGAAACATATTTCTTGATGGAATTATCCTTATGCTAGAGGCCTGGTGCATGAAATTCATGCACGGGGGTTGGGGGGACCTTTCATGGGTGAGGGGGGGGTCAGCCTAAGTCTGCAGTTGGACATCCTTAGCACTGCCGTGGAGGTGGGAGAGGCTCCTGCCACTGCCACTGTGCTCACCAGCCTTGAGCACCGCTCCCCCTTGGGAGTGCACTGACCACTGAGGGGCAGCTCCTGCGTTGAGAGTCTGTTCCCTGGTGAGGTTTCTGATGTCCATTTGGGCTCTTCTTTTCTTTCCATGTTCTTTTCCAGAGTGATCATATCAATTTCCAGGGATTTCAGTGCTGAGTTTTAAATGTATGTTTCCCACTTTGACCTTTTCTATAAGTTCTAGACTCAAATGTCTAATTGCTTGCTCAATATCTTCTTTGGATAATACAGATCTTTCAAACTTAACATGTCCAAAATCTAATTCCTCATTCTCACCCCAAACTTATTTTCCTCATTTCTCCCTATTATAATAAACTAGAGGCCCAGTGCACAAAAATTTGTGCATGGGTAGGGTCCCTAAGCCTGGCCAGTGATTAGAGCCAATTGGGGCCTTCTGCCTGCTGGCTGGGGCCTTCCTTTATTCTACACCACCCCATGGTGGTCAGCGCATGTCATAGCAAGTGATCAAACTCTCAGTCTCCTGGTCAAACTGCCGAGGGGTCACTTTGCATATTAGCCTTTTATATATATATCCAACCAATTGCTGAAGCTAGAAACCCAAGCATCATCTTTGATTCTTTTCATGACCTCTCTCACATCAACTAAACCAGCATAAGCTATCAATTTTATCCTCAAAATATATCTTTAATCTGTCTGCTTCTTTCCATTTTCAATACCACCACTTAATCCTGAGGAATATTCTGTTCTTACCTGGCATCAGTTCATCCTGGGCTCTCTGCTCCCACTCTTGACCCAAGACACACTTCTCGATAGAATGGAAACAATGACAACTCATAAATTGAATCGAGTAAAATGTTCTCATTAGATAAAATCTAAACTCCTTCAGTGATCATAGAATTTGCACAATCTGGATTTTACCTACATCTCAAACCCCATGTACACTCCTCTGTTTGTTGCCCATGATGCAGCAACACTGGTTCCTTCAACATGCTGAGACCTTTTCTGCAGGTCAGGGACTTAGTAAACGCTGTATCTCTGCTTAAGCTGCTCTCCTTGGCTATCCTCTTCCTCCATCACAACCTTGTCTTTTAGTAGGTTAAGCACAACATCCTTGTTTTGTTTGTTTGTTAATCCTCACACAAGGATATTTTCCCATTGATTTTTAGAGAGAGTGAAAGGAAGAGAGAAAGAGACACATCAATTGGTTACTTCCTGCAAGCACCCTGACTAGGGCTGAGGATCGAGCGTGAAACCGAGGTAGGCGCCCTTGACCAGAATAGAACCCAGGACCCTTCAATCCATGTGCTGACACTATTGAGCCAAACTAGCTAGGGTTAAATATAACATCTTAAGAAAGGCCTGCCCAGAGCATTGATTGAAAGTAGCCTCTCTCCTACCCTTTCCCCAGTTCTTTACTCAAATTCCTTATCTCGATTTAGAACTTAAGTTTATTTACTGTGTGTGTGTGTGTGTGTGTGTGTGTGTGTGTGGTTAACAGTTTGCCATGCTGGAATGAATGAGGAAAGAGACGGTGTCTGTTGTCTAGATCTTCAGCAATGTTTCCCCAGCCCCTAAAACAAAACTGGGCAGATATTAGGTGCATAATAAGTAACTGATGAAGGAATAAATAAACACATTTGCTAATTTTTCTTTTGCTAGTTCACTTTTATTGATTTGTAAGCGCTCTTTATATATTAAAACCACTAGCCATTTGTTCTATATGCTGCAGACATTTTGCCCCTATTATATATGTACCAATTTAATTCATATAGAAATATTACATTTTAAATTTATATAAATTTATCTTTTCTTTTGTGATTCTGCTTTTGGTAATATGTATTAAAAAAGTCTTCTCCATCTCAATGTTATATAAATATTTGTCTATTTTCTTAAAAAATTTAAATTTAAATCTTTAAATGAAATTTATTTTTCATGTAGATGTGACTAAGGCTCTAAATATTTATTTAGTTGTTGCATCATCATTTATTGAAAACTCTCTCACCATTTTGAAAATCCCATGTTTATCAAATATTAAATTCTTACATATGCTTGCAGTGTTTCTGGATTTTATTTGTTTATTTTGATATTCTTCTCTAATCCTGAACCATGCTGTCATTTTATGTTGTGATTTTTATAATTTGTTTTATTATGTGATTATTTTTATAATGGGTAAACATTATTCTTTTTCAAAATAATTTTAGCGATATATGTTCATTTATATTTCAAGATTAATTAGTTATGTTTTCATCGAGTTTCAAAAGAAATTCTATTGGCATATTGTTTATATTTGCTTTAATGTTGTAGATTAATTGGGGTAGAATTGTAATCTTTGTAATATTAATTTTTCCACTCAGGTAATTGTCACATGCCAAGGCTGTTGAAGGCATTTTATATATTCCTCAGTAATTTTGTAAATCCCGCATATTTCTTATTAATAATATTAATAGGTATTTCATATCTTTGTTGGGATTATTTTCTCATTATGTTTAATAACTGGTCACTCCTTACAGGGTCAACATATTGATTTTTGTATTTGGCAACTTTTGTGAACTCTTTCATTAATCTTGCTATAATAGTTGATTCTCTTTTAGGTAGACAGTCGTTTGAAGTGTAATTACTGGTGATTTTCTCTCTTCTTTTACAATATTTATACCTCATATATTAAATAAATGATGGTATTAATTTTCCTCTTTTCCTGACTTTCAAGGAATGCCATTAATATTTCATCAGTTTCTAATGTTAGCTGTTGGACTGAAATAGAGGTCTTTCCCAGGTGAAGGAAGTGATTTCCTAGTTCAAGTATACTAAACATTTATTGAAAGTTATTGTTGAATTATATTAAACATATTATTGGAAACTGGAAATTATCGCATGGTTTTACTCCCTGGACCTATTACTACAATAAATTATTTTAATAGATTTTTCAATATTGGATTATTTCTCCATGAGATGGGTCCTGTTTCATCATGGTGAGTCATTTTTTCTCTCTTTCAGTATAATATTGAATTCATGTTTTTACATTTTTTTAGGGTAATTAGATTTACATTCATGAATAAGATTTGACGATAGTTTACATTTTTATATTCTTTTATCAGATTGCAAAAAAGAAATGTCCTATTCTCTAGATTAGTATAGAATATAGAAATTGCCTATTATTTG